CTTTGTAGGCTTAAAAACAGTATATATACTTTACCGAACTTGTAAGCGGTGTGTGCCGTGAGTGGAGCGGTGACTTCCCGACCACCCAGCGCTACTTGCTTGCTTGCTTTAAAATAAAAGATATAAAAATAAAATCCGGATTTTATTGAAATATATGACTATTGAAATGTTATATCAGTTCGAGCGCGGCTCCCAGGTGTCCCAGGGTCCCCTTCTCCAGCACCCCCCCACCCCAGGCACTCAGCGCTTCCCCCGCTCCCCGACAATACTTTCAGCCTCGGGGCCCGGGCCCCACTCATCTCCCGGCTCCACCGCCCCTCCAGCCTGCCGGAGCTCCCCCAGCTCTGCTATCGCCCCTCTCCCCACGCCGGGGCTCCCGCCTTTCATCCCCGCCTCTCCCGGGGATCCCCAAACCCGTGGCCCGCCCGCCGCCACCGGCCGAGCGCCACGTGGGCCCCGCAAAATCCCCCCGGGCCATTCACGGCTCAGCTCTGCACTCCGGCCACATCCAAAAACGTCTCCTCGTCATATGAAGAAAAAATACCGCTCCCAGCAAAACTGAAATATATTTGGGACGCGACTTCCGATTCCGCGAGACCCAAACCCCACCAAAACCGCCCTCCACCTCCAAAAAAAAAAAAAATCCCTCCCGGAGCTGCCGCGATCGGCTCGGGGCGAGCTTCCCCTCCGCGCTCACCCGCGGCACGCAGGGCAATGCGATGCTGCCGGGGCCAGCCGAGCTTCGGGCTCAGCGGGCTCGCCGTGGAGCCCCGCAATGCTCCTGCCACTGCTGCTCCTCCTCGGGCCGCTCCTCTTCGTGCCCCTCCTGTTCCTGCTCCTCCCCTTCCCATCTCCTTGCCCTTCCTCCCGCTCCTCCTCCGCTCCCGCCTCTCCCCAGTTCCATCCAGCGGAATTCCGCTCTGACCGATTTCCTCAGCGGTGGCTCCGCAGTTCCCGGCTAAAATAATCTTTGTAACAAAATGTGCTGATGTTTGTGTTGCCAAGGGGTATAATATTCCCAAGAGATCCCTAGAGCTTTCATTACTTTTAACACTTTTGAGGTAAAGTGGGAACCCTTATCCGAATCAATCAGTGTAATCATCCCAAATAATGGAATTATTTCTTCTAAAATAATCTTTGTAACAAAATGTGCTGTTGTTTGTGTCACAGGGTAGATCTCCACACAATGAATTAATTGGTCCACTATTACTAACAACTACTTATATCTTCCCATTTTCTGTAGTTTGGTAAAATCCACTTGTATCTTTTCAAAAGGCCTATAGGCAGTTTTTCTCTCTCCCTGTGAGGTCTGTCTAGATGTCTTCTTGTTAATTTTCTGGCAAATAACGCATCCTTGTGTCTTCTGTTTTGCTATATCAAATATTCTTATACACTGAAAAACCTTTAAAAATTGGGCACTTAGTGCTCATGTTCCCCAATGAGTTCATGAATGTAACTTGGGAATTATTCTTTTAACATTACTTTTAGATAGCATTTCTCTACCGTCTGGTAAAAGCCACTTATGCACTTCTAGCTTAGCCCCTAGTTTCTGCATCTCTTGTATTTCCTTTGAGATAGAGCATTTTTGATACTTTGTATCATCCTCACTGTTATTCCAATTATTTAAAAACACAGGTAAGCATACTGCTGCCCTTTGTGCTTCTGCATCAGCCAAATTATTGCCATGAGTCCCATAATCCGTTCCCCTCTGGTGTCCTCTTACATGGACAGCAGCTATCACTGATGGACCTCTCAAAGCTTCTAATACTCTCACTCTTATTGGAATGATTGGCTTACTTATTTCTATCTTAATGGGTCCATTAATGCTTATTATACATAAGCATTTACTTGATTTGTTTTAATATCTCTTAGTTTTACAACAACTTTGTCTATTTTATTTCAAGCATTGGTTTTCTTGCTACCTCATCTCTTTCACTCTACTGTACTTCTTTTATTTTGCTGCTTTATTTGGCCATTTGGTCAGAAAGTTTCAAAACCTTTCTTAGTGTCTATTTTGGACACAGCAAATTGAAGCATTTGCTGATTCTATTGCCAATTGACACGAATCACAAAAACATTTGTCACAGAATCAGGCGAGGACGAGCCCTGGGACCCCCAAAAGCCCCTCAGCATGGCTGAGCAGAACCCAAGAGCGGGGGATGCCCAAGACCCACAGGCCCCCCAGCAGCTCTGAGAAGAGGGACCCCCATAACCCCAAAGTAAGGACACTGGAAGCAGGGAACTCCTAGGAAGTGGTTTTGGACTTAGTGAATTTTGGAGGTATTTCTGGCCACCAGCCACCCAGTGACTTCTAGAGATGGACTTGGAGAGCAGGACCTTCAAAGTTAATGTCCTGGTTTAGGACAATTTTGGGAGAAAACCTCTAAAGGTCTTTCCTCTAGAAGACCAAATTCAAGTGGCTCCTCCCCCAACTGGTTCTGGAAAAATATTTCCTTTGAGAAAAGTGGAAAACACTGTTTATTTAACAGGCAAAGCACTCACCAGCCCAAGAAACTAACAGTATTCAGCAATAAAACCTCTTGCTGCTCCAGAAGAGATGACAAACTCACAAAGCCCCTCCATGGGCTGTAGCTCAGCTCACTCAGTCTCTTATCAGTCCCTCTGGTGCTGGAAATGCCGCGGCCCAGCCCCGGTGGGGCACAGGTGTGAGCTCCTGGTGCTCTTGTGAGTGCTCAGTCCAGAGCAGGTTTAGACAGGTCCAAAGACAAGGAAAGCCAAAAACCACAGTCCAGGGGGAACTTCTCTGCCTCAGCAAGCTCGAACTAACTAAAAGCAAAAGGAGAGCTCTGTCCTGCTGTCTGTCCATCCGCAGACAACAGAGGAGCAGGAATGTGGAGGTTCTGAAATGAGAGAGGTTCTGAAAACAAACTCCATGTTTCTTCTTCCTCTTTGCTCTCAGAACCAGCCTTAATGATACAAAACTTACTTCAGAGGAATGGGGATGCGAGCATCATAAAGTCACTCCTGAGACCCCTAAACCCCCCTCAGCCTGTCTAAGCAGGACCTGGGAGAGGGAGGATGTCCAGGACCCATGGGCCCCTCAGCAGCTCTGAGAATAGGAACCCCCATAACCCCAAATTAAGGACCCTGGAAACAGGGAACCACTGGGGGAGGTTTTCAACTCCGTCTTGATTTTTGGAGGTGTTTCTGGCCACCAGACACCAGTGAAATCTAGAGATGGCCTTGGCCAGCGGGACCTTCAAAACCAATGCTCAGTTTTTTACTTTTGACCCCAAAAATATGTCACCTTTTGCAGGCAATCATTTTTTCAGGTGGCATCAAGGATGGTATTGGAGGTCTTTTCCAACCTAAATCATTCCATGATTCTAATTGTCTCTGGCCTACAGGCATCTTCCATAGCCAAATGGTGATGGACTGGGGCACAAAACCAGGATTTTTGAGACAATGGAGTGAAAATTCCTCTAGAAAAGGTCCTGTCTACCCACCCAGGCACATGGATACTCAGCCAGCATGGACACATAAATGCTTTAATTTTGGCCTTGATTTTCTTTCCTTTTTCTTCATCCCTTCACCCACCATTGGGATAAAATAAAGACATTTAACTCAGACACGGATGGTGACTTTGGGGGACATGGGTGGGTCATGGTGGGGCTGGGGACATGGACAAGGACGTGGGTGCGGACATGGCTGTGGATGGCGATATTGGGCATGGAGGGTGTGTCACAGGTATAGATGGTGACATGGGGCTATATGGCCATGGATGAGGACAAGGGGACAAGTCCATGGGTTGACATGTCCATACCATGAGGTGTCCCATGACCAAGGACAGCACATCCCCACCACCACCACGATACTGTCCCCTTCATGCTCCCGTTTATTCCCTGCTCTTCCCCTGCCTGTGACACCTCCCTTGCAGGATGTCCCCATGTCCTGGTGACCTGTGTCACTCAGGCCACTCCCACCAGTGGCTCCAGCAGCAGCCAGAGCCCAGAATGTATAACAAAATCGTGTGAGTGCTCAAAGCCTTGGCACAGGTGGCTGTGATTGGTCATCAACTGAAAACAATCCACATGGACCAATGGAAGATGCACCCGTTCCATTCTGCAGCAGCAGATAGTTATTGTTTACATTTCTTTCCTGAGGCCCTCAACTCTCAGGAAGCAAAAAAATCCTACCAGAAGATTTTTCCTAGAATATCATAGCTACATGCCACCACATCCCCACTGTCAGTGTCACCCCACTGTGAACCCAGCCAGGGATGGGGGTGGCACCTGGGGACACTCCTGTCCCCACTCCACCACTTACCTGGGGCCAGCAGAGAAGGGGATGAAGGACAACGGGGACCATCCCTTGCTGTTCTCAGGGCTGAACCTCAGAGGGTTGA